ATTTCCTCTAGACCTGCCCACATCAGTCCCCCGCCCGTAACCCCATCTTTTGGCTCTCTGTCTCTTCCTCCCACAATCCCTGCTATTCTTAGTGTGGGCCCTTGGGACTGTGTGGATATGCCATTGCTTTGCACAAAGAGACTGGCATTTCGCTGGTGCATACAAGAAAGATGACAGACATCATCAGCAGGGTACCTAGGTACAGGCAAAGGGACAGAAGCAGCAACAGGAACAGTAGGACGTTATGATGCCCCATGCAATTGTTTGCCCACCTACAGTGGTGGTTTCCTAGGGGAGGGGAGGCAGGCCTCAAGGGTCTAACTGGCCTAGCCTCCATCACTCCCAAATTCTCAGGCCTCCCTTAACATGGCCCTCTAGGCCTCTACTCTTGACCCTAAACACAGGCTCCCTGGCATTACCATTGTTAGAGCACAGTTAGGACTCCTTGGCTCATCAGGTAACTGGTCATGAGTGAGGTCTTTAGAGACTGGACTTGCCTACTGTCACTTGGAGCAGGATATACAATATTCTGGGCCACTTTCTTCTCTGATACTGGATAAGGATACAAAGAAATCCCTGACCCAGCCAGCCTTCTGCACTTGTAAACCCATGCAGGTTGTGCATATGAGATAAGAGGACTCTCCAGGAAACCCTCCAACTTGGACACCTAGAGGAAGACAGGTGACGAACCCCAGAAAGGGCAGCAGTTGGCCCAAGGGTCTGGGAATCTAGTATTAGCAAGCCAGGGTTTGGTACAGGCTCTGCCTTTCTTCCCCCTGACTTCACCAAGCTCAGCATATATGGAATGCCCTTTGCATATCAGCACCTGTTCAAGCAAGGCCAGCCTCTCAGGACACGTGCAGACACAGAGGTAATAATAGATGGAAGTGACCAAGAGTGACTGAGAGCCACTTTTACCAGTCTGTGGAGATGGTCTCATATCCACCCCTTGCCTACATATGATGTGAGGTTCCTGGTCCTGGCTAAGTGCTCAGGATGTGTTGGTGAGTGGATAAGGAGGAGTACTCACCTTCACACAGATGTACAACAGGGAGAGTGGAAGGTCCTAGGTGGGCACTAGGGCATTTGAAAGGCCCTTTGATACATACAGGTCACATATGCTGCCTCAGAGTCCTGCTTGAAAGAACCTGGCATGGGAAGAGGTTTGGGCAATGGCAAGAGGCCCTTCCTTCATGTGGCTGCCTGGGGGAGCCCCATAGCATCACTGGGCAACAAAAAATGTTTGGAGGAGATGGGCAGGGAAATCCTGATCCCTGTTGAGCAGGCTGACCACTCAGATGGGCTGGAAATCAAAAAGAAGGGGGTTTCTAGCCACAAGAGCTCTCTATAGAGCTCTCTATAGAGCTCCATCTTTTGGAATAGTGATCAGTGCTTGAAGTTGTGTGTGAAATGGGAAGGAGGAAGTGTGAACTGCATGGTTTGGAAGAGCCTGCTCGCCTCTCTTTCCAGCCTGCCCAGTCCTCTCTTCCAAAGCTACTGGAAAACCTCCAGGATTCTGTTTCTTCTCACCTCAGTGGCTTGGGAAATGAAGTGCCAGGGCCCAAGTAATGATGACATGGAAAGAAGGGTTAGAACTTTAGAAATCACCCCTGTAGGCCTCAGCACTTGGGGTGCCACCTCCTTCTCCCACGTATTTGAGGCCTTATCTCAGGGTAAGATACCTGGGTCAGAGAAGTTCAGGGACACCAGGCTGCTGAAGGCAACCAGAAATAGGAGGCCAGTAACCAGGGCAACACCCCACTTCTCATTTATGAATCCAGAGCCAGACTGTCAGTTCTAGTCTGGGGCAACCCAGAGCTCTCCACAAGGCCTGCCTCATCTGAGATCAGACTTGCACACCACAGGTCAGATCTAAATATCCAGGGTGGAAACGACCAAGGAGACTCCACCAAATGTTACCAACTCTACCAGCCTCCCGCAGTTCCCTAAATGCATCACACACTCTAGACCTCTATGTTTCTAACTATATACCCTGCTTCCCTCTCCTGACCCTCGCTCTACTTCCCTGTCTCTGCACTATCATTGTCTATTTTCCCTTCTATCTCTTTGTAAGAAACCTGATATCTTGCATGGGAGGCTCACAGAAAAGCAAAGAAGATGCCACTGACATTCAGCAGCAATACCAAGTTGAACCTAGCAAAGGGATGTGGGAATAACCAAGCATATCCAACAGATATTGTGTGGGGGGCTTCAACTCATTGGAGAATGCCATGGCTAGGTCTCCTCTTCTCAGTGAAATGAAGTTATCAGTGACCTCTTCTGAGTTATCACCCATACATAGGGCATTTTAATCATTATTTTTTCCTTTCCCCAGTTGGAAATCAGGCTAGGTTTGTATGCATAAAATTATGAGATATGATCTCCCATTACTTTTTGAGGATGAGGCTCCTCTATGAACAACATGAAACAAACAAACAAAAGAGATTAGAAGCACTGAGGAATCATCTCTTTGTCTAGGGGACATCTCCCAGATGCTGGAGCCTCTAACTCCTGGAGTTAGAGGTCAGAAGTGTCCATTCCTCCTTCCATGCATGAATGCCTGCACATACAGGATCTCTTTCATATACTTTACCCCTGACAGACCAATTTCAAGACTATATAATAATCCAGAAAAACCATTAAAAGCCAGACCATGTTACAGTAAACTGTCTTTCTCTTAGACATGCTTATACCTGTAGGTGGCCCATGCAGCCAAGATCTCTCTGCTCAAAAGGCTTCCAGAATCAATGCAGCATGGCCCATGTCTAAAACCGCCGGTAGCAAATACAAAAATTTCAGACAGACAAGAAAGGATCACTGAAACAATGCTGACAGATAGTAACCTTTAAAACAGACAGAACTGCAGGTACAAATTTCTTCCACTTACTTTACCTTTGACAGACGAACTCCAACTGCAAGATTGTACAATAATCCAGAAAGCTATTCAAAACCCAGATTGTTACAATGAAACATATCTTATATAGGCTTATACCTACAGGTGGCCCTTTATTCAACTTACTTTACCTCTGACAGACCAACTCCAGTTACAATATTATAGGAAAAAAAAAAAAAAACAGAGACAACCAGAGAAGAGTCCCCAAACCATGACTGACAGATGGAAACCTTCAAATTGACCAGCCAAGATCTATCCCAAGAGACTAACTATAGAATCAATGCAGTATTGGCCATGTCTTAAATGGGCACTAACAGAAACAAATACAACAAAAACACAGACTACCAGAGGGAATTCCCAAACTCAAGGACAATCAACAGATGGGAATCTAGAACAGAAATATCCCTAGGTTCTTGAGTCCCACTTAACCATTACTCTTACACCAATGGCAGCACAGATTTACCCACAAAAAGGGACTAGATGTTACCACAAAGAGGAAACAGATGTGTGGAATCAAGTTTCTCAGTATGCACACTGGAGGACCTACCAGATGGCCAAGGGTGTCCTGACTTTACTTTTCAGTTTCCTTTTTCTCAAAGTGCACAATTGAACAAACCACCATTCAGGGAAGGAAGGTGGGTGTTCCCTGAAGCAAAAGGAGCTTTGGCAGCTGCTGGAAGAGTCCCTTAGTTCCTCCCTTTACTTATAAAAACAGCTTCTCCAGTTTGACCCAAGGCAAACTCACCCATCTCATAACTCTCTTGCATTTGGCTCTCAACAAGTTCTCCAGCCACCTTGCATCCTCATCATGGAAGCAGGGTTCCTTGGAGAGTGAGGCTTGCCCAGGGAAGCTGGAGTGGAGGACGCTCTTGGGTCTCACCTGGAATACTAAACTTTTTACCGATAGCTCAGTACTTGTTCCCAATGCCAATCCAGTAATGAGGACATGGCTTTGAGAAAAGGGAAAAAAAAATTTATTGCTTTGCTAGCAAAGGAGAAGCACAGGGGACTCCTGTCCCAGAGGCTATGATTCATGAGCCCAAATTTTAATCTTACATGAAGCTGTATCTATAGCATGATTTTTTAAAAAATTTTGTTTTAATTAGTTATACATGACAGTACAATGACTTTGATACATCATACATTTGAACCAGATGGGATACAATTTCTCATTTTTCTTAGTGTTGCAGAATCATATTGGTCATACAGTCACATATATGCACACAGTAATAATAGAGCATGATTTTAACCATGTAGACTTTGTTAGAATATGTATTAATAATTAAAAAAAATTAGATGTGAAGAAAACAACTAGTGTCTGCCTTCTCATGAAGTGGGCAAAATGTCAGGTGACCTTTTAACTTTTTAGTTATGTTATTGCTACAATATTGATTTGGTAATATATCTTAAAAATGATTTAAAATTATTAAAATCCATTGGCATTGAAAGTTAGATATAATTTGGAAATTATTTATTTATTTAATTCTTATTATTTAGTAAGTATTGTGGCAAATGCCTATGTTTTCTCCTATAATCCTTTAGTAACTGCATACAATGAACTTGAGTGTTAGATAATTAAATAATTTGCTGAAGACTAAACTAAAGGTTAAATCTAAACAACAAACACCTGACCCAAACGTTGTGCTCTTAATCACTATTGCTCACCTGCTGAAGAAAGCCCTGTCTTCTCCAAGGATAAACTACACCTCACTTAATTTTATGTTGGTTTCATGCTAACATTAAATATTCAAAATAACAACCCTAAATCTGGCTGTGACTCAACACAAGGTCTCCCAGGAGACTGCTGGCCTGGTATCAGCAATCCCAGATGGGAAACTCATCCAAGCTGCCTTCATAGGCCTACTTTGGCAGCATATATACCCAGATGGAAACTGCAAGTGAACAAAACCAAATTGGACAGCTTAAGTTGATTGAATTCAAGTTCAGTCATTTTAAATTAAATTTTTAAAAAGTTAAAGATCCAAAATAAGGAAATGTGTGTTTTTTTATTAGAATTTTTTTCATATTGCCTTTAGATTATAAAATGTGTTCTTTCAAATTCTAATAATGATCAGAAAAAAAGTGTATATTTTTAAAATAAGTTCTACCTTTTTAATGGTCACTTTCATGGCTTTCTCCTCAGGTGTTCGTCTTTTTCTCATGTTATTAGTCTTTATTGTGCTTAACCATATTTGTTACACCAGGCACTCATCCTGTGATAAGAAAGCAAAAGAGGTATTTTCCTCTTTCAATTATGGGTAAACCCAGGTGCAGGGAAATTCAAATAAAAACTTCACTGAGATTTCATCTCACCCCAGTTAAAATGACAATCATCAAAACTACAACAGTAATAGCTGGTGAGGAGGTGAGGAAAAGGTCCATTTATCCATTGTTGGTGGGACTGCAAATTGGTCTAACCACTTTGGAAGGCAGTATGGGGGTTCCTTAAAAAGCCACATGATTAATGGAAATAAGATTAGCTGTGAAATTTGGACGGTAGAGTTTAGATTCCCCTCTAAACACTTGCTCAGACTTTAGTTTCCTAGGGATGTTGCATTGATATCAACACTAAGAAAATGAGCCCTCTTCTACAGCTCCCAGAGGGATATACTTTTTACTCGAAACATATTCTAAGCTAAACCCTTAGTCCATCTATCATTATCTAGCTGTGGAAACTTGGGCAATTTATATAATCTCATTGAGATTAATAACTGTGAATAAAAAGTAAAGTTATGGTAAACCCAAATTAGAAAGAGTTATTGTATTGAGCATTAAATTTAGTTCACAAACATTTTTATGGGGGAGATATAGAGTTGATTTGTGTCAAGACTTCCAATGAAATTATAAGGTCTGACTCATTCCTACTGCTTAGGGAAATTTTTCAACTTCTTTGGATTTTAGTTTTTTTTTTTTTTTTTAAGTTCTCAGAGAAAGAAATTAAGCAGAAGGATTGCCAAACCTGAAGGGAGGTAAGGGACAGGTGCTAAAGAAACAAGAGAGAACTGATCAAAAGTGGTAGGAGAACAACACTCTTTGAGGGTAGAGTTTTACAAGTATCAGAGGCCTTGTGCTGACAGGAACTCTCACACTACTTTTAGATAGAGAACCAATTGGATAATTGGAGAGGGGCAAGCCAACACATGTGGATGATGGCTACAACACCTCTCAAGGACCAGTAATCCCACCTCAGTGCTTGGCCTTTGAGCAATAAAAGGCAAAGAAATTGTATTCAACTGTGGTATCTCACAGCAGAAGGAGCAGAGGTAACCATGGTGACCATGATAGCCAAAGGACTGTGCATTTTCCCAGTATTCCAACACCAAGTGAGCTTGAGCAGCTCCATAATGAGTAATAACGGATCTTCTGCCACCTTGAGTAAGAGGCTATCAGAGTCAGGTTTAATTTAATCTTAAATAAAATTAATGTGGTATTTCTAACACCTAAGTTGTGTAGAATAAACTCATACATGTTATATGTAAAGTGAGTTACATCATCATAAAATTTTCCTATTGAAATTTCCACACATTTTCTACCAAAATCTTAACTCTCTGCCATCTGCAGATCAGTTTAAGTATTTATAACAACAACAACAACAAAGCTTCTTTGAAAGATTTTGAAACTAAAAGGTTTTAAGTAGAAATTTTATTTCCAAAGGTAAAGGATTTTCAGTTTTGAATATTCAGCAAAATATATGTAATGTCTTATGGAGGGGAAGATTGAGGAGAACTCGGACACTAATTTGAATATCAGCAGCTTTTTCTAGTGGGTGTATGAATATCTTTGCTGCATGAGAAACCATTTACATAACCACCCACCTGCCCATCAATGAGGATTAAATCCCATTATACTTTCCATTAAGCAAATTCTCAGACTACATTTCCTCAAATCTTTATGCAGATGTCAAGACAGTTTGATGCTAGACAACTAAGTGGAAAAGATATAAATTCCAGAAATCTGTCAGCTAGTACTTTTGTATAGTTCATCATAAATATTAATTATCACTCTTTAACAGCAAAATGATAGTAAAAAGATTAATGATCATTTTTTGAACAAATCAAATATCTCCTGGATTTTTGTAATTATGAAGAGATGTAAATTTTTAAATGTATACATTGTGAATGTGGTCCAATGGAAATATCACCAAAATATTTATAGTTTTTTTTGTTGTATAGTTAGATACAAACCCCCAAATCAGTATTTGTATTTTAGACAACTGTAAAAGATATCCAGGTATCTTTTTTTGTGCTATTTCATGGCTGCTTGAACTCATTTGTCCCTTGTTCATGCCTCTGCATTGGGTTCTGCAGAATCCTCTCTTGTGGCTGTGCCCTGTTTCTTTGAGGTCTGAGCTAGCAATCCATAAAGCACAGTTAAGAGGTACAGTTCTCCAGTGGAACTCCAACAAATGGAAAACAACTGGTAAATGCTTCTTACCCACTCCCTCTTCCCAGCATAGACTGACCTGAAAGGAGGTTAGGCAGCTCCTTGGTGGCTAGGATATCAACAATCAACTGCATGTAGTCAAATTAAAACCATGTCTAGTAATTGGTTCTTCATTTCTTTCAGCCTCACATTCCTTTTCCTTCTCTTCAACTGTTTGGTATTGAATTTCCCAACAAAGACCTTTCTTTAGAGCTGTTTTATGTCAAACACATGCTTAAAAAACAAAAAAAAAGATACACCAGCAAAAGCCCTCAATATACTTTTCTGTCAATTTTTTTACCCAATAGTTATGGGGTAAAAATTGATACTGAAGTTCAGAATATATTTTCAATCTATTCTTATTTAAAAAAAAACAAATCCAACATGTTTACGTTACTCTATAAAAGATGTAATATTCCTTTTTTAAAAAATAAATGTATCCTCTCCTTTCACTGTCAATTTCAGTATAGATAATAATGATGTGGGTTTCAATAAATGATGATGCCATGTTCAAAGTGTAAGATTTTTAAAAAAGCATTCAATGTACAAAAAATCAACAAAAGTTAGATAAAGTATATTGTGAAAATGGAAAATGTACAGATGAATTTAACTTTTGTTAAATGTTATTGGGAATTTATCAAAAATATAACAATATATTTTCAAATATTCTCTATTGGTAAAAAAGATGGAGAAACATATATTTTGCCATTTAGAAATATAGAGTTAAGTCTCTACTTAAACCATGTGAAATGCAGTAAAAGTATTATTTATTTTGTCTTTAATAATTACTAATTATTAAAATTATTAATAATTACTAATTATCATTTTTATAAAGGACTTGTAGAAAAGTTTTCCATACATTTGAATGTGAAATGCCTTCATATAAAATGTTTTGATTTATAGTAGCACTGGATAGGAAAGTAAAACTTTGTGTTGCCCTTAAAATTGCAACTCCTAAGGTAGTAACTGCCTACTAAAAAGCCTGTGTTACTCTGAGATGGTGACTAGTGGTAGCTTGTTTTTAGACCTCCAAATGTTAGTTTTACTCACAAGGTAATGTAGGTGAGATTCAGCTTTAGCATCTCATGTCCCCTAGATAAAACTACGAGAGTAATCACTTTAAATATCTGGAGTATATTCCTTCTTAAAACCTTCCACACTTCTCCATAACCTTATTAGCATTTCCTACTTTTGAGAGTACATTATCTGACAGTCCACAGTCTATCTCAAGCCCTTCTTCTTTGCCTCATTCTTCTGTGTGTATTCTCTGCAGCAAGAATCCCTTAAGAACTGACTTGTGATTCAGGGTTAGTTGTCTAACCTACTTGTAGGTAACCTGAAAGAGGCATGCATTTACATGAGTTGATTTCAGGTTGGGAAAGTTTCCAGGAGGAAGTTTGTTTTCAGGAGTACAATATGTATTTGGACCCTGGGATGTACCCCTGTAATCCCAGGGGATTAGGAGAATGAAGCAGAAGGATCACAAGTTCAAAGCCAGCCTCTGCAACTTAGTGAGGCCCTAAGCAACTCAGAGAGACCCTATCTCTAAATAAAATATTAAAAAGGGAGGGGGATATGATTCAGTGTTTAAGGACCCTTGGGTTCAAGCCCCAATATGTATGATATATATGAACTCCTTGATGAGAAAGCTCAGTTTTCCCCTTTATCTTGTATCTGCTTTTATCCATAGTCAAAACCCAATAAATATCTGTTGAACGAATGATCTAGTTAATTGGGGGAAGGTAAAGAGGAAACAGAGAGGACTGACACCATAGGCTAGTTTTAAATTCCATGAAGAGAAGTTATACATGTATAGGAGAAGGAACTTTCCCCAAAGGTCCCTGTGAGACTCTGCAGCTCCAGCCATCCTCCTTTCAGTCACAGGGAAAAGTGAAACAGAACTTCCCCTCATTACTTGCTGAAATAAAACTTGGTGACTACACTTTGAGATTGAAATACAACATGGCCTTTGCACAATAATAAAAGGAATGTTATTTCTTTTATTATTTCAGTTAAACCAGCTTCAAAAACAACTAAAAGAGAGCTCACAGAGGGCACTTTCTGCAGAACTAGCTGATTGGAATCATCAGAAAGTGCTGTCTGGGTATCAAGGCTGCGACACCAAGCAGGTCATTTCATAATATGTGTTCTATATCCCCTAGTGTTCATTTACATTTTGTCCTTTGCCTATACTACCCTTCCTTCCATATATAGCTGTTTATATCCCATTTATATTTCAAATTTTACTATAATTCTATTGTGGAAGGCAGTCAGATTCAATGTCCAGAGTAACATTTGCCAACAAAGAAGGCATTTCTAATCCAAAGGATATTCCCATCCTGCCCGGGTTTCTAAAGGTATTGCCACCAAAATTTCATTCCAAATACTATCCTAAAGCCTCTCTATAAAACACAACTTTTGAACGTTACTCTTACATATTTTTCTAGGTCCCTTTCCCATATTTATGATAGTTAAGAAGAAAGAAGAGATGAAATAATATTTCTGAAGATCATAGAAGATAACCCCATTTACCTTGGCAATGACTGTGTTTGTGTGGGGAGGAATTGAACACAGGGCCTTGTACCTGCTAGGCAAACCATCTATCACTGAGCTACAACTTCAACTCTTGGCAATGATGTTAAGTACCACAGCAAAAACTAAGGCCACAAAAGCAAACATGAGTAAATAGAATTATATCACAGTAAAAAGCTTCCACAAAGATCGACAACATGCAAAGGCAGCCCTATTGATTGAGAAAAACATGTTATATCTCACATGTAAAGTACACATTTAATATAGTCTTAATATACAAAATTTAGGACTTTTACAAATGAATAGTAGAAAAACAAATAACCCAATGAAAACTGGACAGAAGACCTGAGCAGACAGTTCTTCAAAGAAAACATAAATGTAGCCCAATCAATACTTGAAAATGTGCACAACAAAACTGATCATTAGGGAAATGCAAATTAAAACTGTGGGATAGCACCTCACACTCAATAGAACAGCTGTTATTGAAAAGACGAGATAAGACATGTCATCAAGGGTGTGGTTTAACTGAAATAATACAAGAAAATAATATTCCTTTTATTATGTGTATGTGTATACTATTGATGAGAATATAGATTGTTTGAAAGAAGTTGAGAAGTTCCCAAAGAAATTAGAACTCGAACTATCATATGACCTGGTAAGTCCCTCCTCTGGGCTTGTACCTAAAGGAGAAGAGAGTACAACCTCATGAAGAAGATACTGAAAGCCCACTGATTCATTGCTCATAGCAGCAGATATTGGGAAAAAAAAATATTTGCCAGCAGAAGAATGGAGAGAGGAACCGTGGCATACACCTAATGAGATAGTCCAGCCAAATAAAAAGAAAAAAAATATCATCCTGCTATTTGCCACGGATGGATGCACCTAGAGGACATCATGCTCAGTAAGCTAGCCAGACACATAAAGAAAAGCAATAGCGGGGCATGGTAGTGCACACCTGTAATCCTACTGACTCCGGAGGCTGAGGCAGGAGGATCACAAGTTCAAAACCAGCCCCAACAACTTAGCATGGCCCTGTGCAACTTAGCAAGACCCTGTCTCAAAATAAAACATAAAAGGGCTAAGGATGTGACTCAGAGGTAAAATACCCCTAGAATAAATGTCTAGTACAAAAAAAAAAAAAGGAAGAAGACTATTGCATTATTTCACTTGCATTGGAATCTAAAAAAAAATCAAAATCTATAAAAATAAAGTATAAAACAGGAATTGGGGAAAGGAAATGGGGAGATGTAGTCCAGAGGATAAACATGTCAGGTATGCTATATGAATAGGCATAGGGATCTAATGTACTGCATAAGGACTTTAGTTGATAAAATTGTATTGTATTGGGGATTTGGGTTAAATATGTGGATTTTACATACTCTTGTCATAAAAAAAGTATGTGAGACTATGATATGTTAATTTGCTTCTCTAGAGTAATCATTTTACTATCTATACATATCCCATGATATCATATTATAAACCTCAAAAATACAGAATAAAAGTTTTAAAACAACAACTAAAAAGAATATATATATATATTTCCATTTGGTTGCAGAATAGTGGCTTCTCACACTCAATTATACTCTCTAAAGAAACTTGAAATGGAGGACCTCTGGTACATTGACAGTTTTCCTCTTAATATCAAGATGCCCATGTCCTAATCCCTAGAATCCACAAATACTACCTTTATGGCAAAAGAGACTTTGCAGATGGGAGAAAGTTAAGGATTTTGAGATAGGAAAATTAGACTTATTCCTCCACGTGAGATCCAATGTAATCACAGGGTTCTCAGAAGAGGGAGGGGGAAAGAGTCACTATAGAAATAATGGAATGCTATGATGAAAACAGAGATCAAAGTGATGCATTTTGATAATGGAGGCAGGAGCCACAAATGAAGGTATGACCTACATGACCTCTAGGAGTTCAAAAATCCAAGAATTGGATTATCTCCCAAAGCTTCTATAGAGGGTATTAGTCACATTAATACCTAGATTTTATACCCGGAAAAACTGACTTTGGACTCTTGTTCTCCAGTACTCTAAGTGAAAGTAATTGTGTTGCTTTAAGCCACTAAATTTGTTGTATTTTGTTTTAGCAACAGGACACTGACACACATTTTGGTATCTGGAAGTAGGGTGCTGCTGTGACACATTCCTAAATTCATGAAGTGACTTTTAACTTGGCTAATGAATAAAATTTTGAAGAATTTTGAAAGTCACAGAAGATTAAGCCTACGTTATCTTAGAGAATATATAAATCATCCCAAACCTACCATTAATAGAAATCTGAACTTCAAAAACATTGTTAGTGAGGACTTGGAAATGAGAAGCATGTTATTAGAAACTGGAAGCAAGAGGATCTTTTTATACAGCAAACACTTCCTAAGAGGGCAAACACTGCTGATTTACATCCTATGGGTATATGAAAAGTAGAATTGTAGACAACACCTTTGATTATTTGCTGAGAAAAGCCATCAAACTGCTGAAGATACAGTCTACTTTCTTCTTATTATTGGTAATGAAATGTGATAGGAAAGAGAGAAAGTGAAAAAAAATCAAGGTTTAATGAAGTAAAAGATTTTGACATGAGAAGATTATTCTGATTTATATGAATAGACCTGATGTAATCACCAGCGTCCTCATAGATGGAGTCAGGGGGAATTGGAACTAGAGAGACAGTCACAAGATGATGGAAACAGAGACTAGAGTAATACACTTTGAGCACAGTGAAAACGACACTGATGTTTCATTCTGTAAGTCAATCTGGCTAGGCTGAGGTGTCCAGATGTTTGGTCAAACACAAAATGTTGTTGTGAAGGCATTTTTTTTTTTTTAAATTTTGGACCTCTGGCCTTTGGAACTGTAAGAGTGTTGTTTTAAGCCACCAAGCTTGGTGCTTGGGCAGCTACTATGGTTTAGATATAGTTGGAGTGTGTCTCCAGGGGTTCATGTTTTGGTAATGGAAAACAGCCTAGTACAGTGATCATATGAAATAAATACAAATCTTATCCCCATTTAATTAGCAAAAATATTCTTAATTTTATTAACATTTTAAACCTGTAATATTAATACTTCTCCTCTTCCTTAAGTGACAAGTACAACAAACCCAACTTGTATCTCACCTTACATTATTTCAGCCCTCCTTCTTACTCCAGGTTTTGGTGCCAACCTACAATTTGCTGGTGTGATCTCACATCAGTTGTATAGGGTATTTTCTTTCCCTGGGCTTCCTTTCTGTTGTCCTAAATGCAATGGCCAGGAAACCATCACCCATTCTGAGAATAAAGAAAATCTAAATTTATGAGAGAACTAAACCCCATGTGGCAACTCCTAACACAAGGGATAGAAGCCAGTCGATAAATTTTTTCTTCCTTTGAAATGCAGGGGCAATAAATAAGTTCTTTCCTATGTTTCCTCCAAGACGCCTAGCAAAATGTCTCCCTAGTTGTCCACAGGGGTGATTAGTACAATATTAGCTTGCTTGCTTGCTTTCTCTTTTCTTCTTCCCCCTCAAACTCACTCTCATCCCTTGGAGCTTGGAGTCACTTTCAGAAATACACTGTCATGCTCACCTTTGGAGGGAACTAGATTTACTTGTTTGGTAACAGAAGAGATCCAAGAAGCAAACCATTGAGATAGGATTTGACAACACTCACCAGTCAGAGAGCAGCAAGGACTATTGCTGTAGTAAAGAGGTTGTGGCAACTCCTGAGTACCATACTATTATATTTACTAAGGACTTTCCTAGTGATCATTTGGGGTAAGGTGCTAGTAGCAGGTGAAACTTTAGCGTTCAAAGCAGTTTTTAATGATGGCATTTAAATCACAGTGACAGTGATTCTTAAGATTGTGATTTGGCTGTCTTTTGTTTATAGCTTCAAAAGAATTATTATTTTTAAAAATAAAATGACAGCCAGGCACAGTGGCACACAATGGTAATATGGGTTAATTGGGAGACAGTTGGGCAGGAGGATCTCAAGTTCGATGCCAGCCTCAGAAACTTGGCAAGACCCTATCTCAAAAAATAAAGAGAGTGGGGACATAGCTCAAGAGTAGAAGCCTCCTTAAATTCATTTCCCAGCACTGAAAAAATAATAATGATAACAAATTTATAAAAACAAAAATAAATTGACAGATTCCAGTAGTTACATTTATGAAAATATGAACTGTGGCAACATTTAGAGAGATCCTCCTCTCTTGCACAGGAGGGAGGAACGAAGTAAAATTATAGAGGTAACAAAGCTACTCAGGAGACTAAGTGTATAACCTCAATTGATTCCTTCTGTCAACAAGGTGGAGATAGGAAAGAATGACACTGGAAGCTTGTAGTGGGGATGTTTCATGGGATGAGCTTCAAAACGTGGGCCTCCAGATTCTTCTGTGTCCTCTAGTCCAGAGGAAGTCATTTCCTTTCTCTTGTAACACAAAAGATGCCTCCAGTCTCCTGGAGTTCCTGCAAAGACACCTGAGGTGTTTGCCTTGCAAGATCATGTTTGTCTGCTTCTCTGCAATGCCTTCACACTAATATAAATACATTCATCCTGAGAAGCCAATTCAAGGAGGAAATGGTCAAGGGAGAGTAGGAGAGAAAATGATCAAGCAGGTGAGATAAAATGTTAACCATAAGAGGCTGGGTAAAAGTTATAAGGATAGCCTCTTCACTATTTTTATTTTTGCAACTTAGACTCTAAGTTTGGAAATTATTGCCAAATAAAAATTTCAGAAGTACATATTTGCCAAACTACAGTGTAAAGAAACAAGGAAACAGAACAGGTTTACCCTAAGAGACTCCTAACTGTTCTTTGTCTAAGAGTCAGAGTTAGGCACATTTTCTTTCATTCATTTCAAAGTCTATACCCAACTTTCTCAAACATTATAGGAATAAGTCTTAAATGATTAGTTGAATGAGTTGCTCTTTGTGTCTTAATAAAGCTGCTTTCCTTAGACATACCAGAGCAGAAGGTTGTGAAATTGCCATGAGCTGATTCAAAAGTAACATGAGTCCTCACTTGCATTCCAAACAAGCAAGATAAAAAAAGTAAGTCCAAGGAGTAGGTTGTTCCTTTAGTCTTTGACTTCATTGACCCACAGAAATAGCTGAATTTAAAGGAGCAAGATAATAAGTTGAATTTTCTGAAACCATTAAAATGTAAGATGTTATCAAAGTGTCCAAAATGAATCCATATGTCTAGCTCTAACTAAAAATTATAGGAAAGTGTTTTATTGTTTTTCCTTTTTGGTTTTTATAGCTTGATATAGGACAGGGAAAACAAGTATGAAAAATCTGAAATTATATTATCTTGCCACTTGTAGAATTATTTCACTCACTTCTAATTCAAAACCAAATTGCAAATGGTAGAATGTCTCAATCAATACTTAATGTTATTTTCCCTTTTAGGATGTATGGCTTCTTATTTCTCCAATATGACCATTGCTTATCTGTGTTTTCATTGGAAAATTAGCATCCTACTTGTATTATTTAAGAAAAGATAAAATTTTAACCTCTTTTCATGGGACATACCTCTTCATATTGACATACAGAGACAATAACATCTGTCTTCCCCTTCCTCTCACTTGTCAGAAATACTGTAAGACTTAAATGCTTGATTAATTCAGGTCCCTGTATAAAGTGAGCTGTATTAGTAAATTAAGACTTCTAATTTTTGCTAAAAATATCAGATTGACCCTACCCTGGGATAGACAGACTACATTTGTCCTCAGGTCATATATTCACTGTCTGAATTTTCCTTTAACCCTGCCATGTTATATAGAAATAAGGTGTGGCCTAGACAGGGCGGAAATTTGTTGAAAGCTGAGCTGGACAATCTGTCTTTTCTGTGATATTTGCACTACATCCAGAAGTCTGGTTTTTGTTGTTGTTGACTCTATATTTACCCTGCTAGTGACAGACTGAACACAGAGAGAGAGAGAGCTGATTCCTTAGGTGGTTGATGGATTTGGATATTAATTTTAAAGTGAAACAGGATTATTCCCATGTGAAATGTAGCTGGTTCTGCAGAGTTCAAGATACCTACAACTTTTTGTTCGATTGATATTTGACTTTGACTCAAATCCATTACGTTTGTTGTTCTCACTTTTAAAATTGAGTTTTTTCTCTTTCAGTTATTTTCTAAATCCATTACTATAATCATCAGTCTTACTGAGAAACTGAAAAATTCAATTAATATTATTTGTATAGCTTCCCTCTTTGGGTTGAATCCATCACAAAAAAAGTATCAACTCCTTGAATCTAAGTCTAAAATCCTGATTGATAAGGTATAAGTTCAGACCCACTAACAAGATTATTGGGACTTATAAAAGTTTATACATATTTTGTTACATACTATTACTGTTTTAACTGTCAGAATTATACAAAATGTAAAGTTTTTAAGTAATACAAATATTTAAATAAAAGACTGAATACAGAATAGGAAAGACTATTATAATGCCATTCTAGAAAAATAAGAATTATTGATAATTATGTATTAATATCAATTAATATTATTAATAAAAGTTACATTTTCATAATTTATTCAGATATACCACTATTTTAAACAGAAATTAGATAATTCTACATGCACTGCCTGAATTTTCATTGAATAATAAACCTTGAACTTCTTCCCGTTGTAGTACAAAGAGATTATATATTTTATATGCTATATTATGTTTTGGATCTAGGAATGCTCTCTCAAAACTTAGGTGTTAGTCAATTCAACAATTCAGGGATGAAAAGATTGGATTATGAGAACTGTAACCTTATGTTGATGAAGAGCA